CTCCTGGGGCAGCTCTCTGCCTTGCCTAATTAATAGACACAAAGCTGCATTAAAAGGCCCCTGAAAGAATTAATTATCCAGTCAGATTTTTGTTCCCTGTGAACAGCATGGCGAAACTTCATGAACGGCGTGGATGGGTACCGCTTGGTTCCCTGCTGGCACTGCCTGCTGGGCTTAATTTGATGAAGTGCAAAATTATGCTTATCATTTGCACAGGAAATATTTAGTAATGGTTTCAGAGTTACTGCTCAAGTGGTAGGAGCTATTGTATTTAAGTATTTTTTGCCAATTGTAGAACGCTAATACTCTGTCCTTGTAATGCTTTTCTTCCTTCTTTCCCTCTTGGACGCACATAGCTGGATGTTGGGGTTTTATGTGGTTATTTGAGAAAGTTTTAAGAGAGGAAAAAAGTATGTAATAATTAGCCTTACAGGTGCATGGCATTAACACTTTTTGTCCAGAATACACTAAAATGTGCTTTAAAGCCATATGCTGGCATATATCAGGTGACTTCCTTCACCTCTGTTTTTGGTATCATATGACTAATTCAGTTTTTCATTAGCTTTTAGCTGAAAGGCTGTTTTTTCCTATCCTTGCTTGCTTTTCAGTTCACAGGTGTAATAAGTTAATATGATATAAAAGCTTAAATACTGGAACTTGGCTGTGATGACATTTTTTGTTTGTTAGTGTTGGTTTTGGTCAAGTAAATCTACTACCTTGGGCAGGTGAGCAAATCATGGAAGTCTTCTAAACTTTATTTACATACCTAAATATATTAATTATACAGTTTACTAGATCAAACTCAAAAACTAAGAAGGAGAAAACAAACCTTGAAATCCAGTTGTCAGCATTTCACTTTTGGTTGACAGGGCTTTTGTGAGCCCTTGAACGGGCAGCGTGTTTCTAAATTACAATCTCTGGGGACTTGACCATATGAATATATAGTATTTTCTTCCTTTGTAACAGGAACATCTCCCTTCTGAGCCCAGCGAATGTTTCCTTCACATGAACTGTGGCTTGTGCTAAGTGATCCAAGAGGTTATTGTCCTTCTGGGTACCTGAGCTTTAAACTGAAATTAGTGGTTTGACCAGGACTGTTTGGTTTTGCTGCGCTGAATGCAATTTGCACAATATCCTGCTCGTTCTCAAGTGCTTAAAACAGTTATTCTGTTCTCTTCCATGCACCAGCTTTGGCACTTGTCCAACTGCTCAGAGAGCCAGCTCTGTTTATTAACTGGATCACTGGATGTGCAAGTTTAGCTAGCTTATTGTACTGTGAGGTGAGTGCCAGAGCCAGCGGGCTGTGGTATTGCTTCAGCTCTATTACCCACTGCACCCTAAAAAGCCAGTATGTGCCACCTGCTGTGGATGGCAGTCTCTGACAGAGGAGAGTCAGGGCTGCTGGGAGCTGTAGCTTCTGTAAGTTGCCAAGTGATTCAGCAGTGGCTACCTGAAGGCCCTTGTAGTCTCTGGGAGCTGGCCTCAGGTGCTGAAAAGTCAATATACAACATGTGACACTTTCCTAAGCCCTCTCTGTGGCCATAATCTGCACCACATGTGTGTGGGGTTAGTGACGGGCTGGTGAGCTGTCAAAATGTCTAATACATATGTTCAGCTAAAGATTGATCAGCAAGGAGATTACTGTATGTGATTGGGTGACCAGCTTTGTGTTCAGCTGAACATAAATGTTTGCATATATTGCATCTGTAGTAAGAGCAGGCTGTTGCAGAGATGGTGTTTCAGGCACGTTTGAAATGCTGTTTGGTTTCTTTCCTGTATCTGTTGAAAAACATTATTTTCAGGTTGTTGAAGTTCAGCTGCTGAAATTTGCCTTGTGTCAAAATATGGCAAGCCGTAAAACCAAAGCCACTCCCCTACTCACCTTTCACCCAAAAGCACACTCAGATCTGTGATACCAAATAGCTATTGGTACTTCATGTGATATATCTGAATCTGAGCTGAGCATATGCTTCCCTGATGCAACTCCTTCCTTATTAAAGCTGATTTAAGAGACCTTGGCACACTTTGGACTCCATGGCTATTCAAGTTTCTCTTAAATTGTCTGTGCCACAAGTGTTCCCCCTCTCTCAGCTGGTGGACAGCATTGGGCTGGTGGTTCAGGTCACTAAGTAGCAGAGAAGCTTGGGGTTATGTACTGGAAGAGTGATGATTTAAACTGTTTTGAATATTGTGGTAGTTCACCCTCGTGTTGCTTTACATCACGCTCTTGGCTCCATCCCGTGCTTAGGTAGTCTTGATCCTTCTTCCCACCTTGGGCTAGCCTTACCTCAATCAAGCTTGCACCTGTACCAATAATCCCTATGAAAACATGTTGTTTTTCTGGAGAAAGTGTGGAAGGAGTGAGAGTGGTTTCTTGAGTGAGTTCTTTGATGTGACCCATCGTTGATTAGTGCTAATGCTGGTAAGAGAGCGGCTGAAAAGTGGAGTTGGGGAAGTGGGGGTGGGAGCGCGCCAGGTATCCCTCTCAGTAGTGCTTGGCACCAATTCTGGTTTCACAGTCATCTTAAACTATGCTAGCTGAGCTGTCAAACTGTAACTCTGATCTGTGGAGTGTGGTTTTACAAAGCAAACAGTGGTTCAGAGCAGAAACTGCAGCTTCTGAAGTGCAGCGGGAAGTGTTCACCTGCAGGGAGGGGGAAGAAGATCCCTCGGGGTGTCTCTACTGCTGGAGGATTCATTGCAGATGTATCCCAAGTGCAGCAAGCGTAGACCAGGCTGGTTTGCTTTAACAGGACTGAAAGAGTATCAGTAACTACTCTACTAGACGAGGAGTTGGTTAGCCACTTCAGGAGGTGTTCAATCTGTCTGAGCGTC